TATGGTCCAGTCGTTGACCCGGATATCAATCATTTAGAAATAATTAAATATTTTAATAGCAACAAAACGACCATGGTTAATTATAGTATAAATTATACAGATTTTATTAATTCAATGTGAATAACAAGTTTTTATTAGCATTAATTATCAATACAAATACACAGAATAATACACAGTATAAACATTTAAAACTTACGGCCAGTATTTGACTTACAATTAAGATCTGATAAACACTGGTCTCTATTATAACTATAAGTGTATTACAATTGCCTCAACATAAAACAACTGTGTATACGAAATATACTGTAATCACTTCAATCATTATAACAAACATTACATTTATCTATCATTTCTATCACCAAAAACAGTGTAAGTATGGTTTCCAGTGATTGAAATTCAATATAAAATACTTTTTTCCAAAAGAAGTTTATTTTCAAAACAAATTCTATTGAAATGATTGGAAATTAATATTTTCTTATAATTCACATAATATTCACTTCTATTGTATTTGATTAATAAATTGTATTTTAATTGTTTATAGAAATAATATTTTGTAGGAATAATAGGAAATAAGTTCTGTTTTTGTAGTTTTGCTTTAGATTTTAAATACAATTTGCATTTTAACTACAAATAAATAATTAAACTGTTTATACAATTAATTATATAATAAATCGCAAAAAATATTTCTAATAATAATGAATAATTTATACCACAATTGTCAACAGTTATTCATCAAGGGTATTCACTAGTGATTTAATAAATTTCGACAGAAGTCTCAGGTAGCACACCAGTCTGTAGTTACTAAACAAGTGTGCAAACGTAGCGAGCCTGTTGAGGAGCTGTTGACTAGGACAGATACTATCACTCAATTGGATGATAATATCTGAAGAATGCAATCATTCATTAAATAAAAATCAATTCATTTGTAAACACAAACAAAGCACACAAACCTTTAAAGTCTGAAGAATCGCATCCGAAGAACAAGAGCTCTGATCCAGAGATAAGTTTTACATAAAGCATGTGTTTGTAGAGCTGAGTCATTGGATCAGATTGTAGTGACAGCGCAGACATACCATCGAACGGTATTTCGACAATAACCTTCATTTTTGTTTTGCCATCAATTGGTGCGATATCTGCGAGTCTTAAGCCGTCATCTGTCAACTCAATTGATCCAATTCTTGCCCAAAATGCGCCAAACTTTGCGTATTGGGCGGACACTGTCTTCGGGCCACTCTTGTTGTCCTCCATATCCTTCAACTGTGCCGACAATTCGCTGCATTTGGCCTCCAATTCCGTTGTCTTAGTCTTCAGCGATCGGTTCTCTTTAAGACACACTTTAAACTTCCTCTTAAACAGATCCATGTCTTTGAGCAACACATCCACGCAGTGATGATCGCTGGGCTTAAACCCGGGGCCGGACTGACCACAAGTCTCGCACTTCTTATACGTACAGCCGATGCGATGGGTGGGCAACGAGTCGAGTGGACACACATCGGGACAGCCGTTCCACTCGTAGTCGCAACGGATCCGCAATTTGCCGACCATTGAGTTGACGCGACGGCTCTTCTCGACGAAGACATTGCCGCCGATTATCACCGCATTTGCGTTGACGGCGTTAATCGGGTCCACAAACCAGTCCCTCAGCGGCAATGGTTTGCGACACTCCGGACACTTGCGGTGACCGCTGGCGGCCGTAGAAGTGGTCAGCCATTGGTCGAGACACTGGCGACAGAAGGTGTGTCCACAGCGGGTGTCCACCGCTTCGGCGAAGATCTCGTGACAAATACCGCACTTGAGTTCGTCGGCCAATGAGGACAACGACTGGTCGGCCGACGAGAGGTCCACAAATCGGTCGCTATTATAACCCATTATTTAATTACAATTTATATTATAAGCAATTATTTAATTGATTTGATTAGTGATTAAATGTTTGGTTTTGTAAAACACGTGTTGTTTTTGGGTTTGAGTTGTGTTTTGAACTTTATTAGTCTAAAAAAGTTTGCGTTTATTCATAAATCACGTGTTTTTTGCGTTTCAGCCAATCGTGTGATCGCTTTCTGATTTCATAGCAAATGTTTTAAGCGTTTCTATTGGTTGTGATTTTGTGTTATTGTTTCGTAATAATAATCACATGTTTTTATAGTGTTTGGCAATCGTTTGTGTTGTGTCCACACAATCGGCTAATCATCTCAAGTGATATCACCAGCGATTAGACAATGGATGTGACCAGTGATGAGGGTATGTATTGTATTGTATATATCGTTGATTATATCTATAATTGTGTTGATATTCTTAGAGAGGGGTCGGTCTGAGGCCACCATCAGGTTTGTGGTCAACGATGTCCACCAATTGGACACCAATCGCCGATTCAGTGCCGTCACATACATCCGACACTTACCCTGGTATACAACACACCCCTCTATTCACTAATTCATTCAATAATACATTGAAATATTAGGCAAATAATTGTCAGAATTAATGAAATGAAGACCACTTCGGGTGACCCGACATACATCCGACACTTACCCTGGTATACAACACACCCCTCTATTCACTAATTCATTCAATAATACACTGAAATATTAGGCAAATAATTGTCAGAATTAATGAAATGAAGACCACTTCGGGTGACCCGCCGTCGGAAGTGATGACTAAATATTTGGGATGTTTTGTCTGTTGTGATCAGGAGTCGAGGGATACGTATGTTATATCAATTGTTTACCACTAAATATGTGAATAATTATTGTATATTCACTGCCAATAGACGTCTCACAACCAACTGGTGGTGCAATGCGAGGGTTGAGCAGACACTCGTCGCGCAGTCGGCCACCGGACACAACATTACCGACAGTGAGTGTCTTATATACACACCACACGTGTGTGTGTCTAAGAAAAAACATTATTGTTAATTGAATTTTTAATATAGACTTTAAGCACAAATACATATCTAAAGAACACAATGGCTATGGTTTTGGCAAATTCATTGCATTTGAAGTGATTTAGAAAATTATATATTTATTAACAATTTTATATACAATTGATTTGTTTCATTGATTACCCGGTGTTTAGGAATTACTGGATCCGCAAAAGGGTTTCATTGAAGACAATACGATTGTCGTGGAGGCGAAGGTCAGCGTCGATCGACTCTATGGTGTGATTATGCGCTCAAATGCCGGCAATATTTTTCAGTCACTTCAATGGGTAAACATTTAACATCTGATGACATCTCTATGTAATTATAAGTAGAGGTTTAAAGCATTTTATTAATTAATTGTTTAGAAATCCGACGATATTTATCCACAATTGGATTACTTTATGAATGAATCCAAAAGTGATGTTGTGTTCAAAGTGGAGGGCAAACGCATTCCGGCCCTCAAAGAAATCATTTGTTTTCAATGCAATTATTTTCGGTCAATGTTTTCGGGAAATTATACCGAAAGCAAAGCTAAAGAGATTGAAATCGCGGACACGACTTGCATTGCGTTCAAAGCCATCATTTGGTATTTATATTCACATGAATTGGCCATCGATTCGGACGATATGTTAATCGATTTGGACTTTCAGTACGAAGTCTATAGACTCGCCGATAGTTTCCAAATCAAACGACTTCTCAATCGATACGAAACCAAATTGAAAGCAAACATTACTGAAGAGAATCTCGAATTGGTTTCAAGAATTGCTTTCAATTATAAAATCGATTCTTTAATGATTTCTGTGAAGGCATTCATTGATAAGACATTTAATAAACTGATTCTCGAAGACAGCGATTATCTGAAGAAAATTAATGGATTTACTAATGACTATATGTTGGAGAAAACAATTGAAAGTTCCCGCAAAAGGGCCCGAATTGTGTGAAAATATTATCGCTGTAAATGCTTCTATTTTTCTATTGTTTAAATCAAATGTTTTTATTCTCATAACTTTTTTTTGCCTAAAATTTTTGTAAAAATTTCTAATTCATTGAATATTCACTAATATATTACACATTTTGTCTTATATTAGAAATAATTTATAATTACATTGTAATTGTTCTAAAAAATAATTATTACATAAAATCTTAAACTAAATATTAAATAATTTATTATTTCCGTGCATTTGTTTAATTTATAATTTAATAAACGATGTTTAGTTTTAGTGTCGAGTTTATAAAACTTTATTTTGTTCCCAAACTTTGTGTTTAATCTAAAGTTTAATCTAAAAATTATAATAACGTTATGTTTATTAATTAGTTGTAAAACTTTTTACAATTAATATTTTATGTATTTAATTACAATTTAAATCCAGTGCCTAATTTTTAGCCAATTGTGTGATCGCATACTGATTTAAAGTCAATGTTTTACACGTTTCTATTGGTTGTCAAGCATTTTATTAATTATCTTAAAACACAAATGTTTTTACAATGACTTCTAAGTTATGAGATAAGCATTTCATCGCTTGTGTTGTGTCCACACAATCACACCATTGTTTACTCAATTTATTATCACTTTCACTGATCCACAGACTCAATACTATTACCTATTAGTGTCCACACAAGTGGTTATTCATCTCAAGAGCGGACAGACATTCATCACAAGCTATACGGCAATGAATACAACCTCTGGTGACACAGAAGAGGGTATGTCTTGTGTTATATATCGTATACTATATATGATTATAAATTTAAATACAATTGTATTGCCATTTGCAGAGAGGGGTCGGTCTGAGGCCACCATCAGGTTTGTGGTCAACGATATCACACAATTGAATACCGATCGCCGATACAGCGCTGTTACATACATACGACACTTACCCTGGTATACAACACACACCCACTCCTCCCCGCTATTGACTAATTCATGATTAATTTAATGATATGATTGTTAGGCAACTGTTCGTAGAGATGAGTGAAAGTGAAGACACTATCGGTGAACACGTGGGCGTATTTCTCAGGTGTCAATACAACGGCAATATAATAGACTTTAAGCACAAATACATATCTAAAGAACACAATGGCTATGGTTTTGGCAAATTCATTGCATTTGAAGTGATTTAGAAAATTATATATTTATTAACAATTTTATATACAATTGATTTGTTTCGTCGATTACCCGGTGTTTAGGATTTACTGAAAGCCGAAATGGGTTTCATTGAAGACAATACTATTGTCGTGGAGGCGAAGGTCAGCGTCGATCGACCCTATGGTGTGATTATGCGCTCAAATGCCGGCAATATTTTTCAGTCACTTCAATGGGTAAACACTTTAAATGACATCTCTATGTAATTATAAGTAAAGCTTTTTTAACTTAATTGTTTAGAAATCCGTCGATATTTATCCACAATTGGATTACTTAACAAACGAATCCAAATGTGATGTTGTGTTCAAAGTGGAGGCCAAACGGATTCCGGCCGTCAAAGATGTCTTATGTTTTCAAAGCGATTATTTTCGGTCAATGTTTTCGGGAAATTATACCGAAAGCAAAGCTAAAGAGATTGAAATCGCGGACACGACTTGTATTGCTTTCAAAGCCATCATTTGGTACTTATATTCACATGAATTGGCCATCGATTCGGACGATATGTTAATTGGTTTGGACTTTCAGTACGAAGTCTATAGACTCGCCGATAGTTTTCAAATCAAACGACTTCTCAATGATTTTGAAAACCAATTGAAAGCAAACATAACTGAAGAGAATCTCGAATTGGTTTCAAGAATTGCTTTCAATTATAAAATCAATTCATTGATGACTTGTGTGAAGGCATTCATTGATAAGACATTTAATAAACTGATTCTCGAAGACAGCGATTATCTGAAGAAAATCAATTGCTTTACTGATGACTATATGTTGGAGAAAACAATTGAAAGTTCCCGCAAAAGGGCCCGAATTGAGTGACAATATTATTGCTATAAATGCTTCTATTTTTCTATTGTTTAAATCAAATGTTTTCTATTCTCATAAACTTTTTTGTTTTAAATTTTTGTAAAAATTTCTAATTCATTGAATATTCATTAATTTATTACACATTTTGTCTTATATTAGAAATAATTTATAATTACAATTTAATTGTTCGAAAACAATAACTATTACACAAAATCTTAAACTAAATATTAAATAATTTATTATTTCTGTGCATTTGTTTAATTTATAATTTAATAAATGATTTCTTGTTTTTGTGTCGAGTTTTTAAAACTTTGTTTTGTTCCCAAACTTTGTGTTTAATCAATAATAAAGTTATGTTTATTAATTAGTTTTATGTATTTAATTACAATTTAAATTCAGTGACTAATTTTTAGCCAATCGTGTGATCGCTTACTTATTAAAAGTCAATGTTTTTCACGTTTCTATTGGTTGTCAAGCATTGGATTAGTTATCTTAAAACACAATCAAATATTTTTACTATGACTTCTAAGTTTTGAGATAAGCATTGCATCGCTTTTGTTGTGTCCACACAATCACACAATTGTTTAGTCAATTGATTATCACTTTCACTGATCCAAAGACTCAATACTATTACCTATTAGTGTCCACACAAGTGGTTATTCATCTCAAGAGCGGACAGACATTTATCACAAGCTATACGGAAATGAATCCAACCTCTGGTGACACAGAAGAGGGTATGTCTTGTGTTATATATCGTATACTATATATGATTGTAAATTTAACTACAATTGTATTGCCATTTGCAGAGAGTGGTCGGTCTGAGGGCACCATCAGGTTTGTGGTCAACGATATCACACAATTGAATACCGATCGCCGATACAGCGCTGTTACATACATACGACACTTACCCTGGTATACAACACACACCCACTCCTCCCCACAATTGACTAATTCATGATTAATTTAATGATATGATTGTTAGGCAACTGTTCGTAGAGATGAGTGAAAGTGAAGACACTATCGGTGAACACGTGGGCGTATTTCTCAGGTGTCAATACAACGGCAATATAATTGACTAATTCATGATTAATTTAATGATATGATTGTTAGGCAACTGTTCGTAGAGATGAGTGAAAGTGAAGACACTATCGGTGAACACGTGGGCGTATTTCTCAGGTGTCAATACAACGGCAATATGTAAGACAAATGTTTGCGTACTATTCATATCAGGTTATATTGTTTCTATACATCTATCACTAATTGTGCGGTTTTTAATTGTGTTATATCACTATCGATGACAACTCCAGGAGCTGGTGGTGTACAGCGAGTGCTGACCTGACACTCGTCGCACAGTTGGATACCGACAACAACTTTACCCGAAGTGAGCGCCCGTTTAATATACATGTGTTTATGATATGATTTATTGATTTGTCATTTAATATACAGGTATTGCACACAAATTTAATTCCAGAAAGGTCAATTGGGGCTTCAAATTATTCATACCATTTAATGTATTGTTTAAAAATTATTATTGTTTGTAATTTAAATACAATTTATATTTTGTTGATTACCCGGTGTTTAGGAATTAGTCGATCCGGAAATGGGTTTTATTAATGGTAATACGATTGTCGTGGAGGCGAAGGTCAGCGCCGATCCACCCTATGGTGTGAATATGGTCTCAAATATTGAGAATATAATCCAAAGTGTAATGCAATTTAATTTTGTAAATATTTTTTAATACAATTTTTTAAATTTTATTTTATAGAAAGATATGAATTATTACCCAGAATTGGCTTATTTTATGAACGAATCCATGAGTGATGTTGTGTTTAAAGTGGAGGGCAAACACATTCCGGCCGTCAAAGAGTTGTTGTCATTTAAAAGCGATTATTTTCGGTCAATGTTTTCGGGAAATTATACCGAAAGTAATGATAAAGTGATTGAAATTCCGGACACGACATGCGATGCCTTCAAAGTCATCGTTTGGTACTTATATTCACAAGAATTGGCCTTCAATTTGACCGAAGAAACGGATTTGCAGTTAATATACGATGTCTTCAAACTCGCGGACAGATTTCAAATCAAACGACTTCTCGATTATTATGAAAACCAATTGAAAACAAACATTACTGAAGAGAATCTCGAATTGGTTTCGAGAATTGCTTTCGAGTATAAAATCGATTCTTTGAGGACTTGTGTGAAGGCATTCATTGATAAAACATTTCAAACACTAGTTCTCGAAGACATGGATTATATGATTAAAATGAATGGATTAACGGATAACTATTTGTTGAAGAAAATGATTAGAAACGCCCGCAAAATGATCAAAAATGTTGAATAAATGGTTCAAATGTTCAACATTTTTAATACTGAACTTACAATTAATATATGATTGCTTTGTATAATTAATATTGATTACAATTATATATAATTTTAAAACAATTGTTAAAATTGTGATAAATTTGGTAAAAATTTTTACACAAAAATTTCGATTAAAGCAAGTTTTGTAATTAATTGATTCACAAGTTATTAAATATTTAATGAATTGTAAAAATAATTTATTACAATATATCTTATGCTAAGGTGTAGTGATTGGGAAGACTTTCACCGCCTGTCCACTGGTCACTGATATTATCACTCGAGTCGATCCCAAAGCCAGCGAAGTCTAAGTCCTAACCATAAATATCATGTGTTTGGATAGTCTTAACGTGGGATCAGATGGCATGGTATCGATCGTCGACACCAATTCTCGGTTCATTTCACTGTCGGAATTGCACAGACAGTCGAACCCATTCCTCGTCAGCCATTGGTCGAGACACTGGCGACAGAAGGTGTGTCCACAGCGGGTGTCCACCGCTTCGGCGAAGATCTCGTGACAAATACCGCACTTGAGTTCGTCGGCCAATGAGGACAACGACTGGTCGGATCAGCCATTGGTCGAGACACTGGCGACAGAAGGTGTGTCCACAGCGGGTGTCCACCGCTTCGGCGAAGATCTCGTGACAAATACCGCACTTGAGTTCGTCGGCCAATGAGGACAACGACTGGTCTTCAGACGAGAGGTCCACAAATCGGTCGCTATATTAGTCAACCATTCATTTGATTCAGTGTTTGATTTGATTGTGATTTCAATCACTGTTTAGTCATAAATGATGTCTTCTTTTTGTCGATAGTTTTTAGAACTTTTTGTTTGTTTTGTTTCCAAACTTTGTGTTCAATTAATAAATGACGTAATGTTTTGTCAATTAATTTGTTTAAACGATGAGTTGAGCCAATCGTGTGATCGCTTTCTGATTAATAGGCAATGTTTTCCACATTTCTATTGGTTGTGAATTTTGTGTCATTATTTCAATAAAAAATAATCACTAGTTTTTATGAGACAATCACTGCATTGAGTTGTGTTCACACAATCACACCATTTTATAGTCAATTGTTTATCACTTTAACTGATCCTAACATTCAATACAACTGTCTATTAGTGTTCATACTTTTGATTATTCATCTCAAGAGACGGACAGACATTTATCACAAGCAATAAGACAATGGATTTGACCACTGGTGACACCGAAGAGGGTATGTATTGCTTATCATTATATCGTACACTATATATAGAGTTGACTATAACTACAATAGTATTGCCATTCTTAGAGAGGGGTCGGTCTGAGGCCACCATCAGGTTTGTGGTCAACGGTATCACACAATTGGATGACAATCTAAGATACAGTGCCGTCACACACATCCGCCACTTACCCTGGTATACAACACACCCCCACCCCTGGTATTCACTAATTGATAAGTAATTTAATTATAATATGAAAATATCACACAATTGGATGACAATCTAAGATACAGTGCCGTCACACACATCCGCCACTTACCCTGGTATACAACACACCCCCACCCCTGGTATTCACTAATTGATAAGTAATTTAATTATAATATGAAACCCATTGTTAGGCAAGTGTTGGTTGAGGCCACTGATGATGACGCGGCTGCGGCTGCGGCTGTCGGAGCGGTCACCAAATGCTTAGGCATTTCTATCTATTGTAGATATAAACCAAAGTCGACGTATGCTATCAGCGGTGGTGTTGTTTATCACTAATTGTTTGCATATAATTGTGTTATATCTCTATGATTGACATTTAGGAGCTGGTGGTGTACTGCGAGGGTTGAGCTGACACTCGTCGCGCAGTTAGCCCTCGGACACAACATTACTCAAAGTGAGTGTCGTTTATAACAACATAATAAGTGACATATTGTATAATTACAGCCATTAATGACAAATTTGATTCAATAAAAGAGCTGACACTCGTCGCGCAGTTAGCCCTCGGACACAACATTACTCAAAGTGAGTGTCGTTTATAACAACATAATAAGTGACATATTGTATAATTACAGCCATTAATGACAAATTTGATTCAATAAACAACAATTTGGGCATCACTTCATTCATCGCATTTAATGTAATTTTTTAATCAATAATTATTTAATTTAATTTATTTGTTTTTACTGTTGATTACCCGGTGTTTAGGATTTACTAAATCCAGAAAATGGTTTCATTGAAGACAATACTATTGTTGTGGAGGCGAAGATCACCGCTGAAGAGGCCGTCGGTGTGTTTATACCTGAAAATGTGGAGAATATAATTCAGAGCGTAAATACAATTAGTTTTAAACTATTTTTTAAATTGTTATTAATTAATGTTTAAATGAGAGATATTTTTACATAATTATATCAATAGAAATCCGTTGAGTCGTATCCAGAATTGGGTTACTTTATGAATGAATCCAAAAGTGATGTTGTGTTCAAAGTGGAGGGCAAACCCATTCCGGCCGTCAAAGAGTTGTTATGCATTAAAAGTAATTATTTTCGGTCAATGTTTTCGGGAAATTATACCGAAAGTAATGGCAAAGAGATTGAAAT